AAGGACGGGGGAGGGGGAGGAGCATGATGAAGACGAGGAAAAGGGTTTGTGCGGGCCCCATTCACCGTCAACAATCGAATGGCCTTCGACCCATCCCGCCACCGTGTCTGGGTTGTGGGTACACAAGGGTATTCAGGAAAGCCTCTTGGGGTCTCTTCGAAGTGTCTGGACTGCGCAGTCGGCTAGAACCTAAGCGCGTGCGCGTAGCGCGCATGTGTTTCAGGTATGTTTGCATGCATGTATATATGTTTGTAGTTTGTGTGTGTATACATACATATATATATACACATGCACATATGTACATGCACATGTGCATGTATGTGTATGCATGTATATACATATATGAAACACCATATACGTATGTATGCATGCATATGCATAGTCATATGTATATGTTTGTGCGCGTGTATACGTGTATACATATCTACATGCACGTCTCAGTATATGTAGCTGTCCATGTAAATGTGTATGTGCCTGCATATGTATATGTATGAAAGAGCGTGTTCTACCGCTGCTGGCGGAAAACCGAGGGGGCGTCACTGGGGGTTCCCAACCCGTCCCCACACCCCCCTTCGAAAACCGGCGGGGGTCACTACCGGTTCGAACCCCCCCCTCCCCCCCCGCCCCCGTCCATCGCGAAAAGAGGGGGGGGGTCCCTACTGGTTCGAACCCCGCCCCCCCTCGCAGCCGGCAAACGATTCCCGCTCCCCGGGACAGTGTGACAGTGGTGGGGACACTGGGACAGTGGTGAGGACGGTGGTGGTGGGGACAGTGGTGTGGGGACACCGGGACAGTGGTGGGGACAGTGGGACAGTGGTGGGGACAGTGGTGGTGGGGACAGTGGTGTGGGGACAGTGGAGACAGTGGGACAGTGGTGGGGACGGTAGTGGTGGGGACAGTGGTGAAGGCGGTGGTGAGGACGGTGGTGGGACAGTGGTACATTGGGGAGAGTGGAGGGGACAGTGAGGACAGTGGGACAGTGGTGGGGACAGTGGGGACAGTGGGACAGCACAGTGGGACAGCGGCGGGGACAGTGGGGACAGTGGGACGGTGGTGGGAACAGTGGGAGAGTGGTAGGGACAGTGGGGGAGAATGGGACCGTGGTGGGGTGGGGACACTGAGACACTGGTGGGACTGGTGGGGACAGCGGGGACAATGGTGATAACAGTGGGGACACTGGGACAGTGGTGGGGACAGTGGGACACTGGTGGGGATATTGGTGTGGGGACAGTGGAACAGTGGTGGGGACAGTGGGGAGTGGGGACAGAGGGACAGTGGTGGGGACGGTGGTGGTGGGGACAGTGGTGAGGGCGGTGGTGGGGACAGTGGTGGGACAATGGGACAGGGGTACAGTGGGGACTGGTGGGGGCAGTGGGGACAGTGGTGGGAACAGTGGGACAACGGCGGGGACAGTTGGACAGTTGGACAGTGGTGGGAACAGTGGGACAGCTCAGTGGGACAGCGGCGGGGACAGTGGTACAGTGGGACAGCGGCGGGGACAGCGGGGACAGTGGTGGGGACCGTGGGGATGGGGACGGTGGTGGGAAAAGTGGGGACTGGTGGTGGGTACGGTAGTGCTGGGGACAGCGGTGGGGGATGTGGTGCGGTCAGTGGTGGGGACCCGGGAGTCGTTTGCCGGCGGTGAGGGGGGTCGGTTCGAACCGATAGTGACCCCCCTCCGTTTTTTTGGAGGGGAGGGGGGGTCGAACCGGTAGTGACCCCACCGGTTTTCTGGAGGGGAAGAGGGGGGGGAGGGTTTTAGGGAGGGGTTTGCCAGGGGGGAGGGGGGGGAGGGGGGGGGGTCAGCAGTGGGGGGTTTCGAAGGGGGGGGGGGACCCCCGGATTCCGGAGGAAGAGGGGGGGGGGAATTTTCCACAGTAAAGCGGCGGCGGAACACGCTCTCTCATATGTATAGATATATGTGCATGTGTGGATGTCCATGTATCAGTACATGTATATGTACATGTATCCGAGTATGCAAATGTCTATGCACACCAGGAATGACCTTTCGCAGTCCACGACGCTGGCGCGAACAGGCTGCGCGTCGCTCTTCCTCCCTGTGCTGTATCGACTGCGGAATCATTTGAGGTCGGCCGCTGCTGTGCATGGCTTGCCCTCCTTCTGTCCTTTGTCGAGACGTCTGGCGCACACGAGCGCCCTTGCGCGCTCACCTGTGCCAGGAATCAGCTCGCGGATGATAAACCAGGCTGCGCAGGATTCGCTTTGCCGGTAACAGCCGTGTTGCTACGAGGACTGGACAGGTGATCAAATCGGCAGTACAGCGGGATAGGGATATTGCCGCACCGTCCTGCAAAATTGTTGACGCTTCGCGTATCCCCACCAGCCCATCCAGAAACGATGCTCAGGGGAGTTAAGGTGATCAGGGAAGTCGGGGAGCATGCAGAATAACAAAGGGCGGGGGAAGCTGTCACAGACCCCGAGAGGGGGAGGATGGAAGAGGAGTCGTCGTCGTCGTCGTCGTCGGAGGAGGAGGGGGAAGAGGAGGAGGAGGAGGAGGAGGAGGACGGAGCAGGAGGAAGAATCGGAGGAGGAGGAGGAGGAGGGGAAGGAGCTTCTTGGGGGTCTTTTGAGGGCCTCTTGAGGGCTTTTTGGGCGCCTTGGGGCATCTTGGGCGCCTCTTGGGACCCTCTTGAGGCGCTCTGGGGAGCCTTCGGGGCGCTTTTGGGGCCATCTTGGAGGGAGTCGATCAAACAAGAGGGGGGG